GAGAAGCATGAAAAGACTCCATTCGTTGCCCTGACAAGTGTAACCGCAGTGAGCAATCTCCCAGGCCAGTCGACCCAAACCCGCTCCGGGCACCAGCACTCGAATATCCGAAGTAGGTCTGAAAAAGAAAAAAACAGTAAATTTGGTACGCGCCCACGGGGAACAAAGGGGAGAGAGCCACCACCACGCTGACATTCTTTACCATTCATAAAGAATCTGTCAGAGGCAGCTGAACGTATCGCGGCAGAGCTCGGTGTGGGTATCGCCCATCGTCCGACGGCTACCATGCTTTCGCTGATCATGCAAGTAAATGACTGACTGGAGGTAAGCAGTCTAGTGTCGTTTATCAAGTGCCAAGTCGCGACTGTTCTTGCCATTATACAGGGCAGAACGGGAGACGACTTAGTCCGCGAATAACGCAGCAAAAACGGGCAGTGCGGAAAGGAGACTCACTGTTCCAGATCGCTATACACACCCTGGAAAAGAGCCACGAATTCGACTTCACAGGCATGCGGATAATGGCACAAGCTAGTAATAACATGGGGCGTGGACATACCGCCCTGTTATTTTGCCCTCCGCTCGCGCGACCAAGAAGCACGGTTAAGCTCGTGTCTAGGGATGAGCGCTACGATGCCAAGAGCGCACGCCGAGACGATACGGTGAGACTTAACGTGGACTCAACCAATCACTAAGGCCACCCCCTCCCCCAGCCAACATTGTCTCGTAGCTTGACTACAAAAGCATGCAACAAGAACCTGGAGAACGCATAGTCGCTTCCATTTAAGAAGATAACCTATCTCATGCATCCACTTTCATCCTTCAGTTTGGGGTAGCATGAAAGTTTAATGACTGCAGCCCACAAAAAACTAAGTCCTCCCGTCCCGCAACCCGTCAAAAGAACTGGTCGGTTTCGCGAACAATGTCCGATGGAGCACAAAAGCGGACGTGTTAGGACACTCTTTGAATGGGTAAAAACCCATTAAAACGAACTAGAAGAACGAGTACTAGAATTATGGCATTGTCGGAACCAGTTAGCAAGGCATGGCTACTGAAAGAATCTCACCAATTGTTGCCAGTTTTTACGAAGAACAAACGGAAGAGGTACCAACACATCGAGTACCCCCTGCCGTATCTGACGTTGTGGAACGTACTGCCGCAGAGTTTGTTGGGGGTATGGATAATCTTCTGGCAATTATCATGCGTACCTGAAGTTAAAGGAACGACTGAGCAATTGAATATAGTTTATAAAATCCTACGCAGTGACTGCATCCACCCTTATGCAGGCGGGAAAACGACTGAGTTCGCGAATACTCGAACACAAACAACCCATGTGAGGGAACGATCCCCTGTTTTGAGCCGCTCCTCATAGCCTAGAGGCAGGCCAATATCTACTTCACCAGCAAGTTTCCAAGTTGTGCGGCCTAATCCCTACCTAAGGGCGTATGTCGTAAGATCACAGTGAGCTAAACAGCGTTACCCTAACCGACTCAGAGACAATATTTCTTCTTCTAACGCCCGACATTCCTTCCCCTCACATCTCCAAAGAAGACGAGAACGCCCACGCGCCGTTGCCAGCCCAGGCTCAGTTGGCCCGTTCTTCCATTAAAATAAAGTCATTGAACTTGGCAACCCTCTGGGCTGACTTAGCAGTATTATTTAAAGAAAGAGAAGTAGAAAAAGGGCCCTAAACATATGGTGAAACACGTCGCCAAAAAGCACACCATGACTCATGGACACAAAATATGTGATCGAAAAGCCAGAAGAAAAATAGGAACGTCTGTCTCTCCGCAATTTGTCAGAGTGCCACGGTACTTTATACTAACAACTTCGAACATTGACTGAGGCATATATAACTCATGTCTACTTCTCCATAGACACATTTACGTGCATCTTGTAGGATAAAATCAGAATAAAATTCCCTTGTTTGACCGAATTATGGACAATCAGTACACTACAAATCTCGACTACGCTGCGTTTCTGGCGAGCTCCCTTGCAGTAATGAGATAAGCAGTGTCTCAGACACCGACAGCCAGAGTGGCCTAAAAGTGCATGTGCCGCGGTCATTGTAGAGGATTCATTTCTCGGATCAATGGGCAACTTCTGTCAAGGGTGAAGGTAAAATAAACCACTAGACCAACTAAGCGCGCGGGGACTCGATATATGTTTGATAACGAGACTGCAAATAGAGGAAGCTTCTGCCTAGGTGCGGCCTGTGCGATCCAGAGGCATACAACGACCGATGGTGCTTGGTCTTCAAATTATTTTTTGTACGATGAGTGAAAGTTTATATGTAGTCGTTCAGAAATTCGACCCATTGACCTTGTTCTCATAACTCGCCGGCTGAAATGACTTAGTCGAGTGTCATTTCGTTGGCCGGCATCGGTGTCGAGGTGGCCGCCCAAAAAGTCGGATGGATATGACCAAAACTGATCTTGACCTCGCCTTCTATGGAACTGATGTGTAAGATGGGCCGATTTCGATCGGGAGTTTGCCATCAATCAGCTGCATGTAAATATTCGTTAGGAAGCGGACCTGGAGAACAAGTCACAATAAACGCCGCAATACAGAACGCCGTAAATTACAAAAAAATCGGACTTTATATACTAATTATAAATCACGGGTCGAGGAAATGAAGTAAATAAATTCTTGAGGCACACCTACCTATCCGACGATCGAAAGGCGGCATGAATTTCCCTAAGAACAGGGTCGTAGGAACTATGTCTTTCTGGGGCACCAACAGTCGACCAATCACGAACAAATTGCTTGAGCGTTGATCGTACCTTGTCCATATCGTTTGAAGTGATTCCGAACCGGTAGCGTTGCCCAGGGTCACCATTCTGTACCACATTGTTGATTGTTGGGTTTTGGTCTACTAAAAACTGATACATTTTAATAGGGAAGTTAAAGAAGAACTGTGTACGTGGTCCCCCTCGAAAATCTCAGACTTCGCGTTCGCAAGTATCTGGCTGATAAAATTTGCATTTGAATCAATGCACTCTTCAACGGACTTCATGTAGGACGGGAATTTGGGAATCAGAGTTTTTTGGTGTTCCGAAAGTTTTTCATATTTCGTCAATTGCATGTATACTTTTTTGAGCGCATGTGATCTATGAACTGTTAGAGGCAAAGGACGCCAAGTATCTTACCGATAAAATTTGAAAGCAGTAAGTGTTTTAAGAAAGTGCCTCCGTTCCAATTCGTCTGCGTCCATAGAGCCGTGCAAATTAAATATACAAACCAATCACACAACTGTGCGTTCTAAAATGGGATTCAAGTGTAAGAATGTGCAGAAGAAAGGATACTTGTTCGAATTTAACAGATAACAGGAAGAAAAAACCCAATTGGCAATGCTTCCTTACTAACTACATAAAATCGAAAGGGGGCAAAGCCAGAATAACATCTAATGCAAAATGTTTATAGCTTTAAGGATTCTGCGTGCCAACTTTGGTTACGTCCACCTGACACCAGGACTGTGAACGTGTTTTTGGTTTTCAATACCAGTTATGTGGTGCCAGGCGCAACGCTTCGGCTGCGAAAGTATGGCAAGGGCCTCGATTTTGCACGTACGGGTTGCGCGCCCATCAAATGAGCTATTGCGCAGCGGAAATGCTGCCGGATAGAGACGGTCTAATTGGTCGTATTCAGCATAAGTGCAATCTTATGGGCAACTGAGCAGGCACAGACAGGCCTCACTAACTCGAACGGGGGCTGCGAACTCGGTCAATTGGTGTACCGAATACCCCCTAACTGACGAAGCGGCGTAAAATGCCCGGCTATGATATCGGGTTAAACAGCTTAAGTTTTTGGTTTTACTCAGACCATTATCGGGTATAACCCTTCTACAAATACTAGCAAGTAATCGCTTTATGGCCGCCTTTCAAGAGCACACGGCGAATTCTCTGTGAGCTCTTGTTAACAAAAATTATTATTGGGTATAACCTACAAACATTTGTGCATTGCGTTGAACAAGTTCATCCAACAATTATGCTTAAGGAAACGACGTA